TTTTTTTGTTTTAATATGGAATACTTCATGAATTTGCATGTCATCCTTGCACAGGGCCCATGCTGACCTTCTCTTTATCATTCCAATTTTAGTATATGTGCTGTCAAAGTAAGTACAGCAAGCCTGTTCTTAAGGTTTTCCATTGTTTTTTTTTGTTTTAAAATTTTTCATTTTCAGAAGTTCTGTTTGGTTTTTCTTTAATATTTTGATTTCTTTAGGGAATTTTTCCCTCATTTCTTGAATTGTCTATATGACTTCTTTGTGATGTGTTTCCATTTTCTTGTCTATATCCATGAGTTTTCATATAATCCAAGTCTAAAATTCTTCATATGGCATTTTGATCTTTTCATTTAGGTTGGTATCCATTGGCAAGGAGATAGTAATCTTTCACTTTTATTTTTTGTATTTCTGAAGTATTTTCTCTGGCTTCATCTTCTCCGATCTCTTAATCAAGAGCCAAGTTTCATAGGGCTGGCTTATGGACCTGTCTCTGAGAACCCACCAATTGATACAGTACTCAGTAATAGTAAGCAGAACTTGCACATGTGATACAACAATACCCTACCTGCCTGAGTTGGGAAACACTTTGATGACTTATATTGTTGTTCTCCCTATTGTTGGTTGACATATGTGAGAGTGGACCCCCCATTGAGAAGTTCTTTTTTTTGTCTGTGACAGGCTTCTGGACCCCCAGGTATGCTCTTAGTTTTAGGAGGGACCCTGTAGTTCCCCAAAGGTTTCTTGATCTCTACCACCAACAAATGAAGCAGGGCTAAAGCAGTATGTTTTTAGGATGCAAGAACTTGAAAAGCTTTACAAAGCTTCAGGGAGCTCAGATATTACTTTTCCAGCCTCTTGGGGGAGCCACTGGTAGGGGCATGAGGGCAGGCTCTCAAGACCAGCAGAGCTATTCACAGAGGAGAAAGCGAACTTCCTTGCAAAGGCTTCAGGCTGGATTCTTTCCTCCCTTATCCAGTAGCAAGTTTTTCTTGGGGTAAGGTAGGAGCTTCTCATAGTGCTCACTCCTTGTACCACCACACACTTAAGAGGGCATGATCAGAGCCAACCAGGCAGAAGACAAAGCTGCAAGGGCCTGTCCCACAAATGTCAGTTCAGAAGGTCCACTGTTTTCTCCTGTCGTTAAGGAGGCAAACCTCACTGAAAACCTGCTGAAGCTGTCCCTCAGGGTTTCATAGGGCAAGGCCTATTTGGCCCTGGCATGTCTTCCTTTAATCTGGGATGAGGTGGGATGAAGGCAGGGCTTCCAGGTGAAGCCTCTAAGCTGGGGACAGTGTGCAGATAGCAGGCTGGATGAGAGAGTGGGGTCAGAGCCAGCCAAGCAGGAGGTAGGCAGGGAGCAAGAACTAGCCTCACCTCAGTTTAAATGAGCCATTGTTTTCTCCTTCAGTCAGAGAAGGGCCACTCCCCACTGATATCTCACTGAGGGTGCCACTGAGGACCACACAAGGCAGGCTTGCTGAGTTCTGGCCCTATATAGTGGAGGGGCAGGGCCAGTCTCCCTGCACTCCTCTCCTGTCCCTATCTGCTCCACAGGCAGTCCTCCTGCCAGACACTGGTGGAAGAAAAGCAGACTTCCAGAGCACATGCTTTCTGTGTAGCTATGGGGAATGGCAGTATCCCTTCACTGCTCCTGTACCTGTCATGGAGGGACAAGTCCAGCCTGGCTGTCTAAGTCCTAAGCTGGGAGTTGTTCCAGTCACAGGCTAGCACAGAGGGAAGCAGGCCTTAACAAGGAGCAGTCCATCCTTTAAAGAGCACTCTATTCAGTTGCTAAGGGGAATGGGCTGTCACTCCAAGCTAGCTGGAAACAAAATTGCTCTCTGTTCTGCCAGGAAAATGGAGTAAATTCAGAGAAAATGTGTAGGCATAAGAAAGCTGGCTCTCTGGTCCCTGTGGCACTCTCCTGTGGGATGAGAGCTATTATGTTCCACTGCTCAGTGAGAGTCCCTGGGTGGGGAGAGAGGATCCTCCTTATCCTTCATTTGGCTCTGGGCATCTCCACATCTTTCCACTCCCACTGTTCTCTCTTCTCTTACTTCCTTTTTCTCATCTTCATCCTCTCAACTTTTCTTGGTGCCATGACTAGATGCCTCTGTAGAGTCTGCCCTGTGATCCACCCCCCAAACTGCAATTGCTCTCAGCTCACTTCAGTCAAGCCAGGACGGACTGAAGTCACCTGCTTCTACTTGCCCATCTTGCTCCCTCCCTCAATTGGTTTTTGAAATATAGCATGGTTGATTCTATATCCACATTATCTGTGGTGTGACCTTCACATGGCGATCTGTTCCAGGCCTTCAGGAAACTGCATACTGAGTTCTGTACAAAATAAATTTTTATTATAACTGATCTGTTTGACTCCAATTTAGTAATTTTTGTTTTATGCTTTCTGATTACTACACGTCCATCTGTTAACTTTTTATATTTCATTCATTTTTCAATTTAATGAGGTATTTTTCTTTTTCATTTCTTATAATTTAAAAGTAATATTTTGTTGTTCTAAAGGAACTATTATATTTAAAAGAAATATGTGTGAATCTTCTTCTCTAATTATTATTTTCATGAGTGAAAGAAACTGTAGCCAGAATGACGACTGGTGAAAATGAGCATAATTTTTCTTCCTTTCAACCCTCCCTTGTCCTTGCCACCCCACACACATCTAAACATGCACACCCACATTTTATGTGATTTATACCTAAATCTTTGCTAAGTTATTATATTGTGGAATTAATGCAGTAAGTGATTTCATTCTATTTCTTGAAATGTTCATAAAAACCTTTGAACAAAAATTATGTGATACCTATATCCATGTTGCATTTCTAATGGAAAAATTCCCCATGTATCCATTTTTAAAAATTGATCCTCAATCACTTTTAAGAAAAGAAAAACACACAGTAACAGTCTAGATCTATTAAAATTAACTTGGAATTAAAGCCCTGCTTTAGTTCTTCAAATTCTGTTTTATGTAACCTACTTGCACATTTATAAACTATAAAAACACTTATAAATTGAAGATTAGCATATTCCGTTACTGCTTCTAACATCAGTTATTTCATTATCCTTTTGCATGGAATTGATGATAATAAATTCATAATTGAACTCTAGAATGAGTAGCTATATGTGTTTGCATATTGTAACAGATCTCATTTCAAGAATATTCTACTATAAAATTCAAAACTATTTATTTGTCACATAGAAAGAGCTGGACAAATGTGTGGGAACTATTAATAATGGTTAGATTTAAAGTCATAGCATTTGGTGAAATCACATTGCAGGCTAAATTAAGAAAAATAATTTAACAGAGCTGTAAATAGACACTAAATGGACATTGACATTTAGAGATTGAGGACAAAAGAGGGAAAGATGAATTAATCAGAGAGCTAATCCTATACACTGTCATAGAAAATAGAGGCAAGCACTTCAAATATAGCAGAATTCAAGAGAAGTCAATGTAGACCTTAGAAAACACTGGGATTAAGCAACAAGTTATTTCTGTTTGCCCTACACAGATAATTCTCATAAGAGTTAAGGTACTATGTATTTTTTTGTGTAAACTGTTTGTAATAGGAATAGATCACATGCTCTGGGCTTCTGGTATTACAGGAAAGAAGAAAATAAGTGCTTGAAATAGTACTTAGGAGTTCTTTTATGGCATGCAGATTTCAAAATACTGAAAATTTTTGTGCTGAGGGATATAAGAAAGTTGTAAGAAAAATTGGTATAAGAAAAAAAGATACTAGATGTCACTAATGGCAAACTATGGATTATTTGTCTTTCTTATAGGTTACTAGATTCTGCCATTGTATTACTTTTGAGCTACTTTACTACTTTATAAGTTATATATAATTGATAGAAACATAAAATAATTATATAGAGACATGAAAATAAATTTTTTCCAGAGGAGGTTCAATTGACTTTCTGTTCTTTATATAAAAGAATCTAGTTTTGCCTTAATTTGTATATTAATATGTCTAATCAAAAAATATGACTTTGGATTATCCTTTGAATTGGTTCTAACACATTATTGGTTTCCTCATTAATAGTGAGTGAAATAAAATATTTAACACTTATCTGAATAAGTCTCATGATTTTATCTTTTTTATAATTATGATTACATAAAATGGAAAATCAAATATTAACATACTAAAATTCCCCATGAGCTTTGAAACTTGAATGCAATTTTCCCAAGGTTTTCCTCTAGTCTTTCCCTTGAAGTCTAGAACTCACCCTAAAGAAGCAACCTTATCTTTCTGTGCACCGATTCCTAAAACTAGAACTTCAGAAACTGTCAGAGTTCTAGACATTTCTAAGAAAAATATACAAACAGTCCAATGATTTAGCAAGCAAGAAAGAGAACATGAGGATGAAAATAAGACTGAAATGTGTATACTCTTTTTGTGATTATTTAATCAAAGTAAACATACATTTGCCCTAGAAGTGAGGTCCCCAAAAGAGCTAAATCATTTTTATAAACTCATTGCTCAGAAAGTTTTGAAATGAGAGAAGCTTCTTTGAGGCCTGCAAAATATTATTTTTAATTTAAAAATTGTTATAAAAGATTTATCTAAAGTGATCCAGCTTCCCTTAAATGTACAAGGTATAGGACCTCATCCTTATTTCAATCCTGAAGTCACTTTTGAGATAGTAACATATTGTTAAACAACTTATATGTAGTATGATAAAATTAATTACATGATATCTTTTCCTTATTTTCTCCAGAAGTCTGCATTGACTGTCTGAAGTACTATCGTTTTATTTTATAGAAGTTGAAGAAAAATTCAAAATGCTTTATTATTCATTCTGATATGTGAACATGAAATCCACTTTATCTGTCTCACTGTTTGTTGAATTGAAATCTTAGTGGGGGGAAAACTCTCTAACACTTTTGGAATAAGAATATTTATTAGAATAGTAGGAAAAAGTATATTATAAACAGAAACTAAATCCTTCTGGTTTATGTAAGTAGGACCAAGGGGAGAAAAGCTATGCATATGCATTAATAATATAGTAAATGGCTTATTTAATTTCAATTACATATATATATACATAAGTGTTTACATACTATACACTGATATTTTAAGTGTTAAATACTAAGAAT